TTATTTTTTAAATATTTGTTATTTTTCTTCTTTTTTATTATATATTAAGTTTGTATTTACTTTAATATAATCTAGTTTGTTTCCTTGTTGTTGCTGTTATTCATAAACCAACTAATTTTAAATGATTGCTTTCTTTTCAATGTATTTATTTTTAATTTTTTTTTTTAATTTTGTCGTTTTGTAATCTAGTTGCTGTCTTTGTTTATTTTTTTTGCAGCAGCAGCATTTTATAATTTAAATTAAGCTTATTTTCAACTAATAGTTTTCTACTAAAACTACACATTACATTGTTTGCTTTTGTGTATGCTACAGATTACTTGAATATTAATTAATATTTATTGCAACATGTTTCATTATGCATTCAATTTATATCTATTTTCTTTAATTTGCTTTAAATATAAAGTAACGATATGCGTCAACAGAGCAAAAAATAAAATTGATAGATTTTAGTGTTGCTTGTAGAAGTTTTAAAGAATCAAAAATCAACAATTATTACAAAGTGTAAGTTTGGAACGGCACAAAAATATTCAAAGTAGCGATTTTGTTGTTCTTGTGTATGTTGGAATAGGTATTCAACAGTTTTTTTATTTTTCTTATTATTTTCACAGTCGTAGAGGCACTGAGTGCAGAGAAATAAAAAAGTATTGGACGACAGATGGACAAATGTTAAAGATGGTTTAATATTTTGGATGCGCTTTCCTCAATAGGTTTTTATTATGCATACAAATGTTTGTCGGCGAGTTTTTTTAACATTTCCTGAATATGAAATAAAAAAAGAATAAAAAATCGGTGGCTCTATAATCAGAATAAAAATAGCTTACCCTGTTTGTTTTTAATGTAATAATGTGGCTATTATAGGGGTATCAAAAATGTCATTCTTTTTATCAGTGAAAAAAGATATATTTTTTGTCAAGTTGGAATTCACGACGCTATTTTTTTAATTAAGATGGATATTTACTTTTCTCATTACGAAGAAGCTAATATTTATTCTGGGAACTACGACAGCGAATTTCTTCTATAGCTGACATTAATGAATCATTTGTAATGAAAACAATATCATATTATGAATGCTTATACTCAGTTGTTCTTAAACACTCGAAAAAGAACACGAGCCAAATGCAGTCTATCGAATTCGACTAGAATCAGATTAAATTAAACAAATTGTAACGAGTTAAAAAAATTGCCGTCGAATTTAAAAAACTTTAAAATCATTGGATAAAACAGGAATTTCAACTGTCAGTTCCATTGCTTATCGTCAAATCTGGAATTCAGTGGATTTCATTTGAATTGACAGTTGAAATCCACTGGATTTGTCACACATACATCACATAGATCTTGTAAATCAGACATTCATAGATTAATGTGCCGCATCCACCCACTATTAAATGTGCTGACCAACCGACAACTTTCTCCATTGACTTGTGTGCTTGACAAGTAAGACAACAATTGCTATTTCAAATCTTGAATTGGAAATTGCAAAAAAAATGGCATAGCTATTAGCTTCTCGCATCCACCCACTATTAAGTGTGCTGACCAACCGACAACTTTCTCCATTGACTTGTGTGCTTGACAAGTAAGACAACAATTGCTATTTCAAATCTTGAATTGAAAATTGCCAAAAAATGGCAAAGCTATTAGCTTCTTGTAGGGTCATTTGGCACTTTGAATTTTCCATCGAACTAACAAATTAAAATTATTAATCTTATTCTTCCTCGTAGACGGAATTTCGGTGATCGGATACAGAACCTAAACTAAAAGCGAAGGTTTCAATTTTCATCGATTGGGAAATATTAAGCCTTGCAGGACTTATAAAAGATTTCTTTCTCATCATATAGCATCCTCTGGAATCTTGGACAATCGGGAATGTTTTTCACGAAAATTGTTACTTTAAGTATTTATATACGTCAATTGAAAATATCGACAAACAAGAGTATACAGGAATCTTGTGTTTTCTATTTAAATAATCTTTAACCATTTGCATATCTCATGGGTCGTCAATGTTCTGTTTTGTTTTTGTTTGCTTGTAAAACCAATATTATTTGTTGATGGTTTTGCTATTACTGTATTAATATATCCAATATAGTTCTGTCCATCCATTGTTCAGTAGGATGTTGCGTGCAGTGTTGTTGTTTGTTTTGTTTTTCTTCTTTTTAAAATAAATTGTAGTAGATATTTGTTTTATATTAGTTATATTTGATGCTCGTTTTAACAGTGTTGTTGGTAATGTTTTGCAATACATATATGTATGTATTATTTTTTAAATATAGTTTAAATCGAGTGTGTATTTCATTTGTTTTTACTACCTTAATAAAGCTATGATCCCAATTTCAGCTGATATTATGGTACCTTACTGCTAAGTATATTTACCATTGCTCTGATTAAAACTGAATGTGGGTTCGAAAAACATTAGGAAATAAATTAACATTGTTCCAATGCATGTTTTGCTCCTATTATATTCTTTCTATTTGATCGTAAAATGTGAGTTTGTCTAATTTTATTTAATGTTTACTACATAAATGTTTGTGGCGTTTTCGGCCTGCGAAATACGTTCCTACTCCAATATACTGAAAAGAATGGTCAATTTAACAGAAATAAAGTTTAAATAGATTGTTCAGAGCAATGGTAAACCTTAAAAGACTGGTCCCGCTATCAGACATTTTAAAAAACGTTTTTATTTCTAAACACTTTGTGTGTATTCTCAATTGAGTTGATAACTGTAAAAACCAAAGGATCAACATAACCAGTTTGTAACAAAAAATTCATTCTTCGACACATTCATTCATACGACCAACCAACCTATAAACCTGATTCAAAATTTATATAAAAATAAATAACAATCCTCGATTTTTCTTTCATTCTTTCATTCATTCCATTTTGTAATAGTAAATAGAGTTATAGGCTATATAATAAATAGTTTTCTTAGCATGTAGTATTGTATTTGTGTTCTTTTCAGTTTCCTAATTAAATAGTTAAGATTCGAGAAGGGGAAATTTGCAATAACAAATAAAATTGTTCTTTATTAAAAAAAAAAAAAAACAGAAAAATAATCCAAGTTTAGCATAGATAGAGGCAAAGACAGTCAAACTTATTTACAATTGTTGTAGAATAGAATAAAGACAATCAGTTTTTAGGTACATTTTCATTGTGGAAATCACTTTCAGTGTATGTTTTAATAGTTAGGCATGTATATGTCAATTTATTGTTGTTTTGTTTTCCTTTCTTGCTTTATACACAGTGTGCTTAGGTTAATATATTTTACACATATTATACGCACAGAAATCATTATTTTGCAAGCCAAAGGATAACATGTTATTGTTTGCTTCTTCTTCTTATAAATACAAGTCAAAGGATCACATGTTATTGTTTGCTTCTTCTTCTTATAAATACATTAAATTAAATTGCATTTAAAAAGGAGTTATTTTAAAACCTTGTGATATTGTTTTATTGGACGCTGTAAGCATTTTCAAATACTATGTATGGCGAATCTTTTAATAAAAAAACAAGTGACGAAAATATACAATAAAAAAATAAAAAAATTAGTTGCTTTGGAACAAAATTCATTAATGTTAAATTTCATATCATTTAAGAAAAAGACAAAGGTATCCCAACTGAATTTATTAAAAAAAAAACATTTAATTCATAAAAAGATATTCATTGTGCATCCAAATGTTAAGCTCGAAAATTTTTCGGTCTTGAATATAAAATACAAACTAAACTTTTTAAATATGTGAAAGTCGGGGTAATATGTTTTTATTTTGTTCTTACTACGATGAAACATTTACTTTTTCGATTCCTACTTCAGTAAAAACAGATTCTGAAATGCCGAAAAAATTCAGCGTATTAACCAGGTTGGTATACGAAAATATTAGTAATAATTTTTTTTATTGTAATATTAATATTTCGTATGCGTATTGATGGTACACTAAGGAGGTAAAACAGTTTCGTTAAACTGCTAAAATACGGTTGTTCTTTCGATTTATTTGATATTTTTCTCATTTTTGGAATGAGTTAAAAGCACTTTCAAATATTGTATCCAAACTGTTTAATAATTCACTTCCCTGGGAAAAATAGCTAACATTTTTAAATTTAAATTGTAAGTATTTTATTATCAACACAAGTTAAACAAAATTGTCACACGTTGGGCACGCTCACCAAAAATTGTAATCAGCAGATAGTCATTCAATTCCTTTTTATTGTACCTTGTGGGTATCCATGAAACATTCATTACAAGTTAGGACAGGGCAATTAAATTTGATTATCATAAGAAATGTTTGAATTTAAGTGATTTATCTGACCTACCTTTTAATTATTGTACTATGGCGTACCTATTCATTTTTTATTAAATAAATACAACAATTTTCAAAGACATTTAGCTTTTAATTTATTCTTTGCAGAATATGTATAAATAATGTGAAAGGTGTTCCTGTTCAATCGTAATTTTGAAATCTTGCTTTTTTGGTCTGGTTCAAGTATTTATAAAAACGTTACATTAAAAAAGTTGTTGCGAATAATTGATTCTGCTAGGAAGAGGTTATTAGCCTCGAACAACCAGAATGTATGTTGAACCTAGAAGAACCACAAGATTACATTTGGTTCTAAAGTCTTATTTCGTCAAATATGCTTTTAAAACATGCAACAATTGATTTGTTTATATTAATTTTTTTCTCACATTTCTTAAATTGAGAAAAACACAAAACCTGTGTGACATGTTGGGGTTTATGGTATAATTATTTAAAGATAACTGCATGTGCTGACGTTTTGTTGAAAGTAATATAATTAAAAAAAATACGTTTTCTGAATGAGTCTTGCCCTTAATGCCCAGGAATATTTAATTTGTGGTCTTAGTTGTGGGACTCAGTATTTGGTGAACGTAATTTCCAAATGATATTAGTAAATATTATTTACAACCAACATTTTTTTCTTGTTTCAAATTGTTGTACAACAACAACACCATGGTAGGACTTATACCACACATTTAAATCCGCAATAGAAAGGCAATATTGTTTTTCCAAAAATTGGTTAATTTATTCCCCATTTAAATTTGAACTACATTTTAATTGCTCCCCCTTTTATTCAAAACAATGAACACATATACACGTGGTGTGTGTGTGTTTTGACAGAATATGGGCACAAAAAAGTGATATTTTAAAGGTAGTTTTATTCTACCATTAGTTATTGTACCATGGGTATAACTGTAGAGTTTGCCTTTAGTACCAACCAAAAGATGTTGTCCCTTTCCAGTGTAACATTTAGGAGTGCTTCACAAATCTTTGAGATATAAAGAAAAACGTGTAACATATTATTCCATACAATAACACGTAAAAAAATAATAATTCTAAACAAATCAAAAATATTAACAATTTTGGCCTAAATTTATTTTAATGTTTATATAATAACAAAAAAATTGTACCAACAAAAAAAGCTTATGTTTACCTCATTGTAACAGACATAGCAGCATAAAATTTGATATAAATCTTAACAAAAATTGATTATCTCAACTTAGGATTACTTTGATATAATTGCGAATAATTATTTCTGCGGTATATTCTAATGTTTATAATATGTGTACATACGCGTACATATATATTTTTCTTTTATGTAATATTTACAAAATTCTTTGTTTCCAAAAAATAACATACACAGGAAAATACATACTCATGTTTAAATATATTTTTTATTTAATTCAAGCGTAATCATGTGGTGTTTTTGTTTGACGTTTTTTTTTTTTTTTTTTGTAAATAAGTTTATCTTTTTAAAATATATATGTATGTATTTTTATTTTGTTTGGGTTACTTATCTTTGTGAATGTATTAATAGTTAGTCCTTATAGCAATTTTGTAAAATTAGGTTGAATAACTTGCTGTTCTTATGGCTTTCTTTTCAGGGTCCTTTTAGTAAGTTGTAGAATTTAGTATTACTTAGTATTACTTAATTTGTATTTTAATAATATATTTGAGCTTTCATCCAAATGTATTTTTGCTTAAACTTCAAAGTTCATACGATGGACGTATCGGTTATCATTTTCCTTTAAGTTTGTCTATGATCCGGTTTTTAGTCCTCAGATTTTTTATCAGATTCTTCTAATGCGGCTGCAGCTGCTCTGGCTTCTGCATCTGTAAAAATTAGTAAGAATTAATTGTTGTTCTTGGAAAAAAATATCTCAGAAACGGAATAGAATTTTTTATTGAGATTAGAAAATAGCTCAATTTATTCTCTTCCATTTTACATTTCTGGAAAATCTAAAAGTTTTTCCTTTTCACTTCAAAGAAAAAAATACAGATTTTCTTATGGGACGTACCTTTAATGGCTTGTTCCTTCCATATTTTCTTATTGTCAGTTAGACACGCAACCCAGGGTTTACGAATCGTAAATTTATGTTTAAATGCAGTTGCAGCTGATGAACTCGATCCGCCACCGCTGACAACTCCCTTACTTTGCGTTGCCACTGGCTGTGTGGAGTTGTTAGCATCTTCGGAAGATTTATTCTCATTGTCTTCGGTTATTGCTTCGCAGGTTGGACGATTTTTCAAATTACTTCGACTCGTACTACCCGTTGATGGGGGACCGTCAACGGGCACATCGCCAGCATCTATACTTGCATTGACGTTCTTGCACATCGGAGCTATTGGTGCCAAAACATGCTCCAACATATCCGCCATGACAGACATACTAGGATCCACAATGAAATCGATAAAACCAATCTGTGATTCGGCCACCAAAGTGTTATTACGATCGCACAAGGGGCTGAATGGCAGGCCCAATTCCCTTTCAAGATCACCCTGGCGGAAGAATTCCTCCAGCAACAACATCGTCCAGCGATGATGGAGATTCCAACGTTTGGCAGGATGCGAAATGTCACAACAGTGGAGGACCAGGGCCAAAGCCTTAGACTTATCAACAGTAGCCTCATTGAGTGTGAGTAGATTTTTCATGTTTTTCAGTTGCTGAAAGTGGAAGGACATGTCGGTGGATAGCACCATGTCGATGACGAGTGTTCTCAGTTCGCGGTACTCCTCTCGTGATAAATTCGAAAGCACATTGCAGTCATCATCTTTTAGCAAACGAAACGCGGCGCTTATGTGATGATTTTCCAAGACCGCGCGGTCATTGTACAACAAGGCGGTCTCCGAGCCGGACATCACGTGGAAATTGTTGGTCGTTCCTGTGTGTTCGTAGTCATGGATGAGAGCCGCCAACAGGGTGGCAAATATTTCGAGATCTGTTAGCCAGTTCATTAGGCCCGTTTGGCACAGCATGTGGTGGACCGTTTGGGTGACATCTGCCGCGTGCAAGTTATTGTGATATGGATTGCGATAGCGGCAGTAGCCCTCCTCGATTCGATTTAAAAATATTTCCAGGGTAGCGGGTGCAATTTTGAACTTGTGAATTATGCCGTATCGGTTGAGCAAGTCATAGCCAATGTATTTGACAGGTTGGCCATTGGCAGCCTCTGCCAAAGCGAATACATCAAAACACCAGTCGTCCAATGTCTAAATTTTACCAAAGAAAAAATTCCATTTACATCTGTTCGTTAAACATAATCCGACATTATTTCTCCTTACCTTCAGCACTTTGACCACCTCTGGAGGAAAAGTCATAAGCGCAGTACTTGAAACTCGTCGATAAATGCGGTCCACAAAAATACCAGCCCGTATGGCATGTGCCACTGAACGAAACTTGGGTTTCTCATCGGTTTTCTTACGCGTGGTAGCCAACTGCCGCGTAAATGTGGATGCCAACCATTCCCGCACCTCTGGCGGGACAGCATCCGGCTGCACTTCGGACAGTTCATCGTCTTCATCGGCGAGGCGTCTATAGGGTTTCAAGGACAATTGGTGGGATATTTTGGGAGTTTTAGAAGGACAAAGGAGAAATAAAAATCACAATTATTAGTATTTCGTTGCAAGATTTGTTCTAACGAAAATCCAAAAACAAAAACTCGAACGGAAAAATTTAAAGGTTTTTCAACAAACTTAGCGGTAAATACAAAAAATAAAATGCTAGGATCTAATTTAGGAAAGCAAAAGCCTAAATAAAGTTCAAAATTCTTTTAACAGAGAAACAAAATCAAATGAAATTAGAAAGTCTTGTTATGTTTAGGGAGTGCGCTAATTTCTGTAATTTTTTTTGTTGGCTTAATACAGGCAAGTTAGTGGTGTTGGGGTTTGGTAGTTCGGTTAGTGGAATTGTGCATCATAATTATGTGTGAGTGTTTATTGTTATTGAGTATAGCGTATGTATGTGAAATGTGAGTATTGGTAAGTATGCAAAGTGCAGAAATGTGTTATCGGTATGTGTTTGCAAAGCGGAACTACGCAGAAGTATAAGTTATATCAACGAATTCAATCTCAATGAATTAAGAGTTCACTACTCCAAATTTGTGAGTCGTTGACAGAGAGGTTGCATTGATTTCAGTTTTCTTTTTCTTGTAAGAGTTTGCGGTATGATTAGTTTTCCATCAGTATTTACAATAAATCTAATTAATACTAAAAAGGAAACCAGAGGAAAAACGTATGTCGGCATTGGCATTCACTACATATTGTCTACATTTCATGCGTATGTAATTCTATATTAACATTAAACTGAAGATTCCGATGTTATTGTTATCTAAATTTGCATTGAAAATGAGAAGTAGAACCCGAAAGACACCACATACCCGCCATTGTGTCACACGTTCCGTCGTTACTAAAGCGTTACATTTGGCATATTTGATGTGGATGGTCTTCAAAGCAGCGAACGAAAATAAACTATATGAACAGTATGCAATCGTATCGTTCTGTATTTTCTCGAAGTAGGAAACGAAACAAAATCGATATTAAGATAACGGGACTTGTTGTTAAGTTGTACTGTTTGCGTTGGTGAGTGGAAACGAAAACAAAGCAACATTAGACAAAACAATATTAGAAACGAAGCAGTACAATATAAATACATTGCAAACGTTTCCCTGTATATTAACTCATTCTAAATAATGTACAAAGTAATATTAAGTTAAATCCATCGCATTTTATTTATTTATTTGTACATCATACAACGAAAAGAGGCACAAAAAACAATATTTACAATGACAGCTCTTAATGTTCCAGTCATCGTTTTGCACGGCAAACGTTTGGAAATGTTTCATGGCGACTCGTTTGCAAACGATACATCTCGGCAACCCACAGCCGAATTACATTAAGGCAATCGTATTGTTTGTGTATTTCTGTCATTGAAATATTTGTGGTTCTGTTTTGTTTGGAGTTCAGAACGATGAAAAAATTTAATAGTTTGTGACTTCGTGTGAGCCGTACGATATTCGTATCGTTTGTTTTCGTTCGCTGATTCAAAGCCTGTATTCTGGTATGCATTTCTTAAAAATATGCAACCCTTGTAACCACTTCGCGCCAAAATCGCTTGGCATATGTGAAAAACGTCGAATAATGGTGTGTAAATTTAAGCTACCGATTATGTTTTAGTACCGATTTTTGAGTAATAATTACTTCTAAATATTCTCTTCTGGAGCCGGTAACTGGAGCTCAGCTACCCTACTCCGTTTAAATAGCTTTTAAGATATAATATGGAGTAATTTAGCATCGATAATTGAGTTATGACAATCTTGATATCTTACGCTTACATTTTTAATAAACCAATCGCTTTAAGACAGATAATATAAAAATGTGTCAATTAGGGCAAAGTCATTAATTAATGTTTCTATTAAAAAAAATTGTCTCATTGATATCAACAACGGATATTGATAAAACTTTAAAGACATTTGAATTGTATATGAGGAATGATAAAAGAAGGCGTGTTCCGAACATAAATTAATATAGAGTACATATTACTCGTTTACTCAAAGAATGGCATAACTCAAAAATTCCGTTTTTGGAATTAAATGTGTTTTCTCGAAATTGCATTTTTTAAGATGTGACACCCTTTGAGTATGTGAGCGATAGGTGCGTAAAGTTAGACCCAAAGAAAATTTCTTAAATTTGCTATTATTTTGAATTAATTATTAAGAGTATGTTGTTCTAGGGAAGATGAAATTAATTCATTTGTTCTTAATATTTTTAATTGTAATTTTAAATTTCCGAAAAGCAAAAATAAATAAGTAAAGATTCACTTCTTGCTTATATACTTTTTTGTTTGATTTAGAAGGCATCAGCCTTTGTAAACCAGCACTATCCAGTAATAAACAAACCCAATAGAATATTGAAAAATGTCAAAAAGTTAGATTAAAATTTTATGGGGTCAGCATCACTTAATCATATCCCATGATAAAAGGAGTAAGTAAGTAATTTTTAAAGACGAAACTATTTTGTGCAAAAGTTGGCCTTATTTAGTAAAAAGGTTTCACGACAGTATGCGTATTTCCATGTGATTCAGTCCTTGCTTTATAAAAAAATGTCCCTAAATTAAAACAAGTCCCTAACATGACAATTGACATGCCTAATTATCCAACCATGGACCATGGAAAGACTATAGGTAGACGCATCGAAACAGCTGCTGGGACAATGAACTGTAAAATCAATTTTGGAATTAAAAATGTTGAATGTTGCTGATTGAATGAAAAATTATTTAAATTTGTAAAAAATGTTGAAAAAACGCGAATTATAATCGTATAAGGAAACATATTAAAATCTACTTATATTAGAAAAAACATTTACATTTTTTTGAAATATCAATGCTCCCAATCGTTTATGCATCTACCTGTATTTTTCTACCATGTATCCAACCATAAATCGAGCAAAATAGTTCACCATAAAATAGAGGAAAAATTGAGCCAACAATTAAATACATCCAGACTGGCTTTTAAGAGCGAATTTGTAAACTATATAAAACTATATATATCTACAGATTCGAATCAAAAACAAAATAAAATAGTAAATGTTAACATTTCAAATTCAACATTCATAAAGTTAAAGATGGGATATATTTACTGTCTTTGTTTCATGTAATACGCTTTTTTGAAATAGTGTCAAATGTGGCGGCTTCTTTTATTCTTTTTTCCTATGATACTCCTCTAAATTTGTCTAAAAAATATTTTATATACACCCTTTTTAAAAAGCTATAAAAATAAACACTTTTCTTTTTTGATCATTGCTCTGTTATCCGATCCTATTGAAATAATCACAACTGCAATGATACCTTTACGGGATCATTTGGCCCTGTTTATTTTAATTATCACATATTACATATGTATTACCTGGTGGCATATCAGACATATTACGCGGCTGTCCCAAATAGACAGAATCGTTCAAAATTATTACCTCTTTTTCATTCATTTGTAAAAACAGTGCATTTGTTGCTTCACAACACTCACTTGATCTAAATATTTCTATTTTTCATTCAACAATGTTGTAATGAATTTCATCATTATTAATATGCATTTGACTACGGTGTTACGGGTTAAGGGAATACAAAACATTACTATTTGTGCAGATCTTTCTACGAATTCGTAAACAATTTTTTAACACTTTCCTTATGTCATCGAAATACAACATTTAGGATATAAGAAACTTCAACGTAGTCTTGAAGCAAGCGCAAACACACACAAACAGAATTCAACAAAGGCTCCGCTGGAAACTTGAATCCAATTGGAACATATATTGAGAAATCAGAAGGATTGCACACCTTTTTTTGGACTCCTTAGCTCGATACTGAATTATGAACTGAATTAATTCCACGGTAATTATACTGTTGCGACTATTTTCACGTCTTAAGCGACTCATGACGCTTCTGCACGAAAATCTTTTCAATATTTAAGTCGTATGTTCAGATTACTGACAGATTGAGATATTCACATTGGATAAAAACTGGTATGAGTGTCTTGAGTAGATCAAAATTTGTATCTATTTGTCACGCATTTCCACGCACTCATTATCCACAAGTGACAATTGCAAATTCGTATTTTATGTTCACATAAGACTGCACGTATGTATATAAGGGACGTTTTAGGATGTTATGTTTCGTACAACCGTTGATGGCATTAGACGCGACTCAATAGTCCGAAGTTACAATTTAAACTAAATGCTGGCAAAAAATTTAACTTCATGAACCATCCATCCATTTATCCATCTCTCGAAATGTCCACCAGTTTAGTTTATTTCTTTCGATGGTAATTAAAGAAAAACATTTTCCCACTCCCGCTGCCCCATTCAACGTTTTACCTAGGCGTCCGTTATTGTCTGTTACTCTTTCAGTGGCGCAAATTTGTTTCGTTTTTGCTGCAATACTTTGGCTAGCTCACGCTATTGCGATTAACGTTATAAATTTGTTTCTATAAGGATTCCATAAGAAAAGGATATCAATTATGTTGCCACTACGAGAACGAAATTTAGTACAAGTATTGCCTTTCGTACATACATATACAGAAGACGGTATCATCCATTTGTTAGTGTGGCTGCTTTGGCATTTTGGGCCATAAACACCAACTAACCACCAACATCAACAAATAAAAGAAATGCTATCGAGTCATGAAATGTCATCCGAAATCCTAAAAGCAAATAAATTTTTATTGTTCCTTAGGTAGCGTTGTTGTCGTTCTTGTTATTATTGCTGGTACTAACAATTGCTATGGCTTTTCCATTAATTGGCTGTGAGTTCTAGCCACAACAACAGCAATGAATGATAATCTCGAGAACAGATAGAAAAACACCTGAAAATGTTGGGGTATTTCTTCCATTTGACCCAAAGTTTTTTATCTTCACTTCACAAATGCAAATAGGTACATACACACAAACAAATATTGTATGAGCACAAGTAACCCTCGAAGGACAAACCACTGGCTGTTTGGGTAGCCATTTATGGGATTTGCATGTCAGGAGTTAAGTTTTGCTATTCCAATTTTTGGAAAAAAATTAAACATTTTAAGCAAACCGTTATATTATTTCCTAAGCTGACACAGACACCCTTAAAACATCAAAACTAGGCCAATCGAAACTACAACACGAATTACTTATAGAAATGTCTAACCAAGTGTTTTTTTTTAATTTCGATCATCTATGGCGTTTCATTTACAAATTCAATTCAAACGATGACATTATCCAAACGGTTATGGTGGAATAAGAGTAAGAAACCCACGAACGTTTTATTAATGATGCATGATGATTCAACCAATCCCAAGATATTTTTCATCTAAGGAGCATCCAATGTCAATGGTAGCAAAAATAACATTTATTTTTATGTCTACATAAAATTTTCTCGGATAATAAGAACAATGTCCGACATGCCAATGTAACGTTATTCCTTAATGATGCTGAACATTAAACGAATATGAAATAATGTTGCTAGAAGAGTACTATTCAGTTACACAATTTCATTATTTTTTATTACGACGCTCGATTCTGTATTATTAACTCACTCTTTTAGGATAACTCACGGTACATTCATATTAATATAGAACAAAATTACTCAACAAATTCTAAATAACAGTTTTGATCATTACGCCTATAAGCAAGCATGTATCATGTATCAACATTAATTATAGTCCAGTCCCAATAGCAATATATAAGTTATGATAAAAAATGCCTTGGTTTTTGTATGTTGGTAGGCTTGAGCTGTTTTATTCTCGGTTTGTGTGGCTTTAAATATGGTATGCTAGATCGAGAAAATCAAAGTAAAATATCGGAGATTATAGTCCCAGAACGACCGTTAAAAATATTTTCCTTTATTAAAATTTAAACAATTTCGGTCACAAGATTCTGTCCAGCTGAAAGCCCATGTATATGCAGATATTTAGTCAATGAGATTTCTATAGAGATGATGCTAAATTAATAGCAACCACAAAATATTTAAGAGATAGATGCCAATTTACACAACCTTAAGAAACTCATTTCAAATTTCACATGAAGGTACATAAATGTCTACCATTTCAAATAGCTAGGCTAGCCTGTCACAGCTTAATATTCATTAAGGGCAAACATGACGTATGTTCGGTAACATAATATTAATATACCACATACAGAAGTGTTTTGTATCATATTTGGGAAAATTGCGATTGTACATTTATTAATAAATGTAAACATACTACACCATTATTCGCATACACAATGTAAGTATATTCTGATGTGTTTTCCTATGCATTGGGTAGCAACATCATTCTACAATGACAGGAATTTTAGGAACTAGGTTAGCCTCACTCCGCCCCTAAACATACAAACCAACACAATAAGGGCATTGTAATTTGAATGAGTATCCACCGCGATGATAATAAAATGCGAACTTTTATTTGGTTACTATGAAACGACTTCCTCCCACCAGTCGCACTAACGATTCAAATTGCCGATTTTAGGTCAATTTCGCAATGGCCAAAATCATGTTATCACCGACTGTGGTTGTTAGGGCAGAGTGAAGGTGGCCTGTAATGGATACCACTGGGCATGGACTGAAACAGTAGTGGTATCAGTTCAATGTATGTATTGATGTTGCCGTGACTATGAATTGATAGATAGATAGATTGCCTTTAAAAAGACAAATGATAAGTTAAAGACGATTCGTGGCGCGAATACGACATGAAAATGTTCGCAATTTCTGGACGAGTTCCTGTGTTATTATTCATTTCTGTTATACCGATTCAAGGACTATAAGGACAAAACTGATGATTGATTATAACCCCACGAAAATAATGGGCAAATTTGACAAATTTGAAGGGAGAACAATACCAAAGTGAAGTCAGACATAAAATTAATATGAACGTACTTCGTCAGGCTTTGTAACAAAACTTGTTAACATTTCGTACACATCATGACCTTCAAATTGACCAAACAATTTTCAAATACAATCCAACAAATACCGTTGAGCTTGCTAAAGTCATTAGTTCAGTTTCGGATATTTTGACTTGAGTATTTTTAAATTTACATTTCTCTATTTGGGGTTTAATAAAGAAACCAAAAATCTCTCATTATAATATGGAATTTATCTAGCATTGCTAACAAGATGTGCTTAAATTAAATAATTAAACGAAATTCGGATCAGCGTAACTATATGTAGGTACATGTTACACACAACAATTGTTTTTTTTTTATATAAAAACACAATCACATTATCTTTGTAGATATGAACACATATAATGAAAAGTATTTGTCTTAGTTAATTTTACCGACGTTTATAACTCGTCAACTGGTCTAGTTATAAATTGTTGTTTACATACATTTTATTTATCCCGTATTGCAGCGATGGCGTCGGTTCTTGCTGCAGCATTTCTATTCTATATTAATTCGAACAATCAACAAATCAAAACATTTTAAAGACACAAAATCGCTTTGCGAACCTTCGTATTTGATCGTCGTCCATTCACATGTGCGATCACAGTCAATGATTTAAAAGTTACTAATTTATTTTTTGCCATAACAGTTTGGAACCCTTTTGAATATGTTGTGTGTTGTTTATACATTCCGACGCACAGACCCATAGCCTAATATCTAATATTTTAAGTAAAAACGCTTTTTGTTTTTTTATTCAAACAAACACAGGTATTGTTCGCTTGATAAAGTCAATACAACTGATATGGGGTTTTTAGGAGAGCCATGCCATGTACTGGGACACAGGTTTTTATTTGTAGATCATATAGTGTCTCCAGTTTTTGACTAAGACGAAACAATGTGATGTTGCTTTTGCCAAATACATACGCACCCACAAAGATATATAGATTTTTTTGTTTATTTTTTAAATAATTGATTGCTACAATCAGCGTTTACACAGCCTTGTTTAATAGACGCCTGTCTACGAAGTATTATCAGTTCGATAAAGTGGCCAAGTCTTTAAAATTAATTGAAGTATTAAAAAATGATTTCAAGTTATTCTTCGATTTGTCGGTATTCTTTAAAAAAAATAAATAGTGACGTCAGGTGTTCTCCAGTCACGGTTCGTCATTACCAATTTATCAAAGTAATTCTTGTGAATAATTCTATACGGATCATAAACAACACAAAAAACTATGCATTATTGCTGTCATTTTGATATTTCTGTTTATTTTTAGAAATATTTCTGTGCTGTACTAATACAGAAATTTTTCTTCGACAATTAATTTTGCAAACCTGCAAATTTTACCGCCTAGCCTGAGTTTGTTAAATGGTTTATTAATGTACTTAATGTGAAAAACAATTCTCAACATAAACATTTCTAACTACCCAGAGTCTACCATTCGATCGAATGGGTATGAATGTCATTTGAAACCTGTTATAAATGTGACCGAGTGTTAATAGATACGAAAATGGGAAACCAACATTTAACATTTTGCGAACATATACACCCCTCCATTACACTGCAACCCAAAAATACCAATCAAAGTATACAAATTAATATATGTACTTAAAAATAAATAACATATTTACATACACAGACTCTACAATCGAATTGATTAGTTACTATATCCTAGTGCTGTCCATAGAATTCGTTCATTTTCTAATCATATTACAGCTGAATGTGTTTGACACCCTCTACTCGTTAACATAGTTTTACCACTTAAATGTTTATGTTAATAACATTTTGACTTAAAACATATCTTGAGTGCAGCACATCGATCAGATGAAATCTTTCGATTTGATTTTTCTATTATAAACACACAACAATGAGAACGACAAATATACTACATCTATATATATTACTATGTATACACACATCTCACAGCTATTGGATGGAAGACCAAACAAGGAGAATACTTTAAATGTAACCAACCCCAGTGGATAATTATTATTGTTAAAGTTGTTTCTGTCGTTGTTGTTATTGGACTCGTGTTGTTGGTGTTGTACAGATACGTGGTGTCGGCTACGTCTATTCGCCATGGTAACACTCAAGGAGGCACTGGAGTAGGATAATGTAGTGGAGGACGCAGAAGAACATCTACTAGAATATTAAAGGGAACAAGTACAAATACAAGCATACAATAACAAGGATATGCTACCATAACAAAACTAGTAACGCAAGTCACACACAAATAATTAAAAAAATACTTTCAATTTAACATAGAAATGCATAATTTAATTTACATAGATACATGTTTAATGTAAAATAATTTGTCGTCTGTTAGAAACTAACTCATCATGGATTAGAGATTAGTAGATTTTTTCTTACAATAAACTGTCGTTATTTCATAAATATTCTTAAATATCAACCAACAAATCTTAAAGTTAGATTAAAAAAATAACACAACTGTTTAACTAATGTTAAAAGACGATGTTTTTAATGTGCGGATTTTAACGACCGGCTTTAAATAATGCTTATTTCCGATGTCATTCCGAAATCAGAATTAAATATATGAATAGGATTTAAGTCATTTATAGAAATATTTAACAAAAATTGGTGGATAGAAAAACAACTTTTTATTTTAATTATATTTTATATAATAAAACATAACTTATATAAAACATGTGAAATGAATGTATGTATTATGGTGTGTGTACTTCTGCATTTCTCCGATTCCAACGCCACACTGTGCCGTCATCGCATACCCATACCAGTACTGTTGCATCACGAGAAAATGCAGTCTGTCTCACAATTGAAGTGCATCGAATATTATTCAGGGTGCTGGAATGTGTGTGTCTAGGGTCCGATGGATCCAGTTCCCATACATACACTTTGCCATATTGGTTGCCCAAAGCTACAATCTTGTGCCAAGGGTTAAAGCCAAAACGTACAAACCATATTTCACACTCATCGTAATTGAATTCACTAATGATTGTACACGAAGGATCGTTTGGCTTTAGCTGAGACAGCGTTTGGTGTAACTGTCCCGGTTTCCAACATACTATTGAATTTTCGCATGACTTTGAGAGGACGAAATCTCCAAACCATTGTACACAATCCACATAGTTGCGGTGAATGTCTCTTGTAGAAAATTCTGGAAAATGTTGCATAATTGTAGGAAACGGTAGCTGGGATTTATTCGGATTGAAGGTGCGGGACATTTCAATTTTGTCTTTAAATTCGGGCGTGTCAATGCGCCACAGTTTTAAAGAATGGTCCATGCCACTGGACATTATACGCTCTCCACGTAAATCAAAGTCTATCGATAGTACCTCATCTCGATGACCCTCCACACCACCAAAAATTGCTATACACACATGCGTTTGTATGTTCCACAACCGTATGGCATGATCTTTGCTGCCTGAGAGCAAGAGATTCGCTTGTCTTGGATGAAACTTCAGTTCGTTGATAGCCTGCCCATGGCCCACATAATTTCCCACCGATTCATTTCTATGTATGTCAATTACGCGAATAACACCACGATAACCAGCCGTGGCCAATAGGGGAGCTGATGTTTTCAAATCATAAGACCAACTGCATGTGTAAAAAACTTCATCAGGCTGAAAAATTAATAGACTGAAAGTGTGAAACGGCAAATATTAGAATGCTAAACCAAAACATACATCAGGATCTGCATAGCACATGATTAGTTTTAAGCCACCTTTGCGTGGACATTCATAAATGTTGCAACGATTACTGCCCGCTGTGGCAAACACCATTGGTTGATCCTTACCCAACAGGTGATTGAAAGACACACCGAAAATAGCCTGTCCATGATCTTCTTTTAAATGACAGCTAAGAGAAACAAAGTTATTAGTTTATATGAAAACTAAGAATAACGATTGAAATATACTCGTATTTATACGCCGGTCTTTTCGCTTTTGATTTACTATGACCCCGACTTTGTCTGCGTCCACGAGAGCCAGGGGACTTGCTGCGCGAGGTAGTGCTTGTTGCGACACTTGCTGTATCATCCTAATGGAGTGGAAATATTCCCGAGAATTAAATTTTTTAGATGCTTTTGCGAATGATCAGAACTTACTATTGATTCATTATCACTGTTTTCTGCTTTTGTATTCTCTTTTGGTGATTGTTTATCGGCCTTAACTTTTGACATGACTTGATACCAACAATATAGTACGCACAACTATTTATAAATGATTTCTTGTTTTTTTGCACAACACTCAAAATATAAACAAACAAATGACAGAAAAAGGCGCGCCAAATTATCGAGAAGGGATCTATAAATCGGCATAACAAAATAGAATGATTGATAAAAATTAGGGTAAACGATAAATGTTAAGAATCCGAAGTCGGCTGGGTTTGGTGTGCCAGCAATTGGGTTACACACTATCAAACAAACACGGCGTTTACGTCAGTCAATTTATACCATCGCTGTTTGCGAAATCGTGTTAGACGAAATCTCAAGAAAAAAAATTAAAAAGCGAACAACATCTTCCAGCACATTTGTACGATAACATTCATTTTATAGTATGGTATAATATAGAAATTCTTACCAAAATGGTTGCGTACGATTTTATTTATTGTTTGTTTTAAACTATGCATATAAACAATAAAATAATCATCAATATCATGGTACAATGCATTCAAGGTAGGGCAGAACCATGGTACAATGAAGAGAAGGTAGGTCAACTTTGAAAAAATTGCAAGTATAGAGGTCTACCTGTTTGGCTTGTAATGTCAGAATTAGTATCAAAACAATAAAAAATCAAACAGCTTGTTGCATTTATTTTGAATAAATAATTGAAAATCGCGATAAGTGAATGAAAGGTCAACACTTCTTTTCGAAATCATGTACTATATATCTCTAAAGGATTATTTCGCTACAAAAACTCTAGATTTTGTCGATGCATGCGTTGAAATGAACATTTTTAAAACCCCCGAATTTGAATTTTTTCTGAACAATTTTTTTGTTATTGAAAAGAAAATACATACATAAACAAATATAGATGACATATTAGGCCAAGAAAATAAAAAAATTAAAATCATGGTACAATGAATTCAAGGTAGGGCAGAACTACCATATGATTTAAATTTTTTTATTTTTCTGGCTTAATATGTCAATTTCATTTGCTTATGTGTGCGTCTTCTTTTCAATAATAAAAAATTGTTCAGAAAATATTCAAATTCGGGTGTTTTCAAAATGCTTATTGCAACGAATGCATCGACAAAATCTACAATTTTTGTCCATAAGAGATATATAGAACATGATATTGAAAAGAAATTTTGACCATTCATTCAGTTTTCGCGGTTTTAAATTATTTATTCAAAATCAATGCAACAAGTTGTTTGCTTTTTTATTGTTTTGTAATTTATTCAAAGTTAGCCTACCTTGTCTTCATTGTACCATGATCAATATGTTTGTAATCATGGTACAATGCATGGTACAATGATATATGATACAATATGATTTTATTTTTTTATTTTCTTGGCTTAATATGTCATCTTTATTTGTTTATGCATTGTACCATTGTACCATGTGTTTATGTATGTGTTTTCTTTTCAATAACAGAAAATATTCAAATTCGGGTGTTTTCAAAATGTTTATTTCAACGTATACATCGACAAAATCTAGATTTTTTGTAGCGAAATAATCCTTCAGAGATATATAGTACATGATTTTGAAAAGAAGTGTTGGCCTTTCATTCAGTTATCGCGTTTTTCAATTATTTATTCAAAATAAATGCAACAAGTTGTTTGATTTTTTATTGTTTTGATACTAATTCTGACATTTCAAGCCAAACAGGTAGACCTCTATACTTGCAATTTTTTCAAAGTTGGCCTACCTTCTCTTCATTGTACCATGGTACAATGTAGGCTAACTTTGAACAAAATTGCAAGTATAGAGGTCTACCTGTCTGGCTTGTATTGTTAGAATTACTAACAAAACAATCAAAAAACCAAACAACTTGATGCATTAAATTTGAATTTCAATATTTTCTGAACAATTGTCTTATTATTGAAAAAAATACACACACAAAAAAATAATGATGACATATTAAGCCAAGAAAATAAAATGATTAAAATTATATGTTATCATAGTCCTACCTTGATTTATTGTATTATGTTTGTAATAATGTAAATATCTAATTTTTTGTCAAAAGTTTTTTAAGTTTGGTTGATTTGCATAGATTTATGGTCCTTGCGAATTTGGGTAATACGACCGTACAAAAATGGTTGATTATGGGGAAAAGGTGGGTGTATGCAACGCAACCATTTTGGTAGAAACCGAATACTGGTCTAAACAGCTTTTTTACAATCACGGGTTTTCAAATTGGAAAAATGCAAAGCCAGAGTCTTGTAAATTTAAATTTATTAATAACAATTGCAACAAGTTGTATTGTTTATATAACACTTTTTTCCACATTATTCTAATTTAAGAGTAAACCGCACAAAATTGTATATGTTTTCATTAAAAGCTAAATGTATATTAAAACTAAACTTCCGTGGTCTTCTCTCCAAAATTCTTAGCAATAATTAATTCGCTATTCAATTTTAGAAAATTTCACTTTACCAGCCATTTACACGAGACAAATAGTCTTGAATCAGAGTGGTATTTTAAATAATCGGTCTGTTCCAAAACTGCAAGAAAGTAAAAGTTTTTACTGCGATAACCGATTTTCCCTTTATGATATCTAAAAATGCAAAGCTAGTAGATTCTTGCAAGTACTGGAACAGAGCAAATAAAAACCCTAATCAATTTTTTTAAATGAAAGAAAAGGATAGTAAAGGATTAATGAATATTTAAACAAATAGAATTTGTAAGTGTACATTCATAGTCATACCCTTCACATTCCTGGTCAACATTAAATTCTATGCCGATATAGCTATGCTCGTATGTCTGTTGAAATTTTGCACAGACATTGATATCGTTCCTGGGATGAAACCAACATTTATGTATAGTTTCCATATAACGGTTTCTCCTGATTTTCAGTATTTTGGTTTCCGCTTCAATTCCCAACCAATTAACTGCAATTCGATTAGATTCTTTGTGTGTGGACTAGCTCCTCTCACAAAGGTATAGTGGCTATAGTCTACTTATTTATAGAATTTTAAGGATATCCGATATTGCGATGAGTCAAGTTGCCACATGGTAGTTTTTACAACTGATTTGTGTAAGCTTTTGAACTCAATTTTCTTTTTGTAAACGCAGGATTAAAAATAACATTAAATACACATACAAATCAATATCAATTAATAATAATATATCTTTTATTCAAATATATATGTGTAGTTTATGTAGTAGGTATGTCCTTTAGTTTAACCAACAGTCAGATATAGATTTTCATGCCGTTTGCGATCCATTTGTTGCACTAGTTCAAAATATTTTAAATACATACATACAAACATACATACATATATAGGAATGTTAAAAACGCTGAAATCGCTAAAAGGCATGCACATTGCTTCAAAAGGTGAAGAATTTTATTTACAAAAGAGCGTTTGGTAAGTAAGAGAGAGACAAGGGACAGACAGTTAATAGACAAAAAGAGATCAGTCAGTACAAGAGAAGAAAATTGTTTCAGACAAGAACAGTCGGCAGGTTTTATTTGTTGCGCTCTAGTTCGGTGTTGTTCTTTGTGGTTTCTTGTTAAGAAAGTGTAGCTGGAGGAGGAGAAAACAATAAAAAAAGAATACAAACCAAACATAAGGTAAAATACCAAAATACTTATTCAACTAAAATAACTTAGTATAGGTATGTAAAGAGGTAGCAATTTATGTACGTTTTGTTTGTCGACATGGATCTCGCCCAGACCGGTGTTCTCAGACGTTTTTGCCTTTGAATGGTTGCTTTGTTACTACAACTGCTACTGCTAACAGTACTGTTATTCTGAGGATTGGCTGTTGGGGCGGCGGTGGATGTGGACTTGTTCTCTTCGGCATCTCTTGGCTGCTGTGCATCGGTGGCCGGCGGGCCTGTTGGCCCGCTATGCGTTTGTGGTGCTAGACATGCTCCCTTTGTCCGACTGTCTATGCTAATTTGATTGTTAGATTCATCGTCGCCGGATGCAGGCGTTCTTCCCGGTTCCTCTGTTCTCAGAGAGCATTGACTCTGATCGGTATTGTTGTTATCACTGGATGCCACCGCTGTCGTTTCGCCCCCCGCTGTCCTGGAAGATGTGTGTTGTTGATTGTGCGTATGCTGATGCTCTTGGCATTCAACATTTTTGCAGTTGCCATTACATCGCCCGGCTTTAGGATCTTCTCTGTTTTGCATGTCATAATAGATCAACATAGCATTAAACAGTCGAAAAATAACAGTAAATTCAGCATTTAGCAGAGCAGTAAGGAGCAACCGCAATGTAACGAGCGTATTTTTTAATTGAAAGGCAAACCAATTCATAAAATTCACATTATGGTTGAGAAAAAGATGCGGCAATAAAATATAAGATACAGATAAAATAAAAGAAATTTTCAATTAACATTATTTTCTTTAACTCCTTGGTGATTTAACCATAAATGTGTTGCTAATGGTGAATGTATGTTAGATATATGATTGCTGAAATTGTGGATGCGAGAAATATATTTTGGCGCTTTAGCAAGCTCTCAGCCTCTTACGTTTTAAATTTGTAATCGATTTAGTAATTGAATATATGAAACACTTGTGGACGCACAGTTTTTAGAAATTAGAAATTAATCTACCTCTTTTTTTAATGTTATAGTACTTGCAGTAAGCGATATAAGTTTAGAAATGATGCACTTATATTTTCGAATTCCCTACCAATTATCGTAAAATGGTACTCGAATTATTAGTGTGTCGAGCAAAACCTAATCATTAGCTTCGTATGTGGTATGAAAAAATGCTATTTCTAAGTTTATTTTTATCTTCGGTTTTCACTCCAAAATTAAATGAAATATATATATATTTTTAACTTTTATATATACTAACTGGACGCACAGTTTTTAGATTTGAAATTAATCGACCTCTTTTTTTAATGTTATAGTACTTGCAGTAAGCGATATAAGTTTAGAAATGATGCACTTATATTTTCGAATTCCCTACCAATTATCGTAAAATGGTACTCGAATTATTAGTGTGTCGAGCAAAACCTAATCATTACCTTCGTATGTGGTATGAAAAAATGCTATTTCTACGTTTATTTTTATCTTCAGTTTTCACTCCAAAATTACATGAAATATATATATTTTTAACTTTTATATATACTTATTTAGAATAAACAATAAAATAACTGGAACTGGATATATCATATTAGTACCAATTGAATAGCATTCCCTCTTAACATTAAGGTGCTACTGTAGAGGGTGAGATGAAAAAACTGCAAGTAACTTCAGACTGCTGTCATTTCTAAGCCACTCGTTCGAAAGCTGTTAAAATTATTTCATTGACAGCTCATCATATTGTTTACAAGCGTACAAAAGCATTTTGGTGAGGTTCTTTATACTTGGTTGGAAAACCACAAGTGGCTATCGCTAGAGCACTCCAGCATCTAAAAGTGAATAAATCTTTTGTGTCTCGCACCATCGCTCGTTACCGTGATAGTGGTAGCGCAGCCCGACGTTAAGGAAGTGGACGGAAGAAAACAGCAACACTAGCAGAAAGCGACTTGAGTCGTAGTGGCCGAAACATGGCTCGAGAGCTGAACATATCGCAATATCCCATTCGACAAATATTGAAAAATGAGCTCGGGGTAAAGCCCTTGAAATTCCAGAAAGCGCAAAACTTACAGCGCAACAGAAAGAAAATAGAAACAAAAGAGCTAGAGAGTTACTTCGCTTGGCCGAAAGTGGTGAACTGCCGAATTTGGTTTTCTCCGATGAGAAAACATTCGTTGTCCAGCAGTTTGTAAACAAACAAAATGATCGTGTTTACTTGCCAAAGAGGTCAGCTGAAAATGTGCACGCAAACAATTAGGCCGCAGACCTTGGACAGCACAATCGCACTCAGCACGCGCACCCAAGAGGGTTCCTCACTTCATTTCCAGCGCACAATGGCCACCAAAATCTCCAGATACCAATCCGTATTGTGTCTGGAGTATTTTGGAAAGCAAGGTTGGCACTAAAAAATACCAAAGTGTCGATCACTTCAAGCAAACGATTCGCCGGCAATGGGCCAAAGCACGACAGAGTAACATTCGGGCAGCGTATGACGGTTTCATTGGCCTTTAAAAGCCATAATTCGCGATCTTTCATGTAATTGTGAAAAATATGAATTTAAAATAAAATGTTGTTGGAATGCTATTCAATTAAGCGACAGTATGTATCTTCTTTGCCCTTTAAAGGGTATAAGTAATTAATTCGACACATTTATATACATGTACAAACAAACATATGCATTTTAATAGGCATATCCTTTATTTATTTATGCAAAGTGTTTTGGGCTTGGAAAACGATAAAATGCTGTTGCTTGTTGTTTGAATAAATAAACTAACCTCAGAATAGGATACAACAAGTACCATAAAGCACTGTGTATTTCAAAAATTCTCAGAATGATTACAGACCTACTTTGGAACTATAAACACAATTGGAGTCTCATATAAATATTCCCAAATCTAAAGACTGATTTGAACAGATCTATTTAAGTAAACCATGATATATACCTGAATGTTCAAAATAATAGCACTTTTATTTACTGTGGCATATTCAAAATATTTCTATTGTATATTGAATATAGCCAAAACGTATCGCATATCTATCGAACATATAGTTATATATGTAGTTACTCTGAATTAAGCCGAGTTTTCAGTTTTCCGTTATTAGGTAAATCGAAATTAGATAGATTTTGTTTAATGATGAGTACAGATTGAGTAGAAATAGTGAAAGAGAAATTTAAAAATGTGGAAAAGTTAACAGACTTCTCTTTTGTATTCAAATTCATGTGCGCGTAAAATACACCAAAAAAATGGAAAAAAATACATTAATAATTTAGTTGCTGATATTAGTCTATTATTCCATATTTGATAAAAAAAAAAACAATTCCACCAAAATATGTTGGTGCTCCACTAGACGCTACTTACACATTTGTTTCTCTCTCCCTCTTTTCTTCTTGAAACAACTAAATCAGAACTTATGATACTACAAATAGCATTACATTTACACACAGACAAATGTATAGATTTATAAAACTAGATTCACAAGCAACACACACTTACATATCTATATAGCCATACACTGTATGTGTGTGTATATGGACTTGATAAACTGAAATACATATATACGAGACTTTGTTGATACACATTTATATTTATATATAATATAGTGAGAGAGAGAGAGAGAGAGAGGTGAAATCAGTAGGAGGAGACGGACTTATTCCTTTGATAACACGCAGCTAAAATTCATAAGTAAATTGGGGAATACAAACATCACAACACAGCAATTGGAGGAAATTGAGATTGTGGAAAACTCAAACCAATCATCATTATCTATCCATATGGAAAATGGGAAATACAGGACACTGGGTTTCAGAGCATTTAGGCAAAATGAGAGGCGTTTTAGCATTTATGATTAGAAGTTTGAAATTATGATACCCCGAACGGGGGGAACAGGAACGATAAATGGGCGAATGGATGAATGAATGAATGTATGATGCTGATGAGAACGTATTTATATGCTCCATGTATGTAACACAAATTCAGAACATGCCCTAGGATAAGTTAGAAAGTCGAATGAGTTTTGTGCGGCCGAAGACGAAAATGTGGCACGCACAGCTAGCTTTTTGTGGGACAAGGAGACTGGGAAACAAATGGTGATAGCGAGTGGGATGAGCTAAAAGTCACGGCAATGAGTCAACAGAAAGGGACAATTGAAACAAAACATTGTTAGAATGTGGCCAATACCACATCGCACTCAAACTTACTCTTCGCATTCAATCGATGCACTGGAATTTTGCCTCATTTTGGATTTACCTGACGTGGGACTTCTGTTCAGAGTTTTTGTTCGATTGGTTTTTATTCGATCGTGGGCGATGAGGAGAGAAAACAAAAATTAAAATTAAATCAAAATGAAAACAATGTCTAAACTAAAAAACGTAGAACAACAACAACAACATGTTGTACATGAAACACTAAAAGCAACATTGGCAGACATCGAATTGGCGGATCAGAACACAATGTATGTTGGAATGTTTGTCTAATGGCCCGAAGGACAGGCCAGATAGCAAGTCAACCAACCAAATGGAAACTATTTATTAGCTTAGGAGTACATCAAGGGTAGATTCAATAACTCGCGCAATGACATTTCGACACAGATGATGAGCAAAGCGTTATGTACAACCAAATGATGTTTGAGTGTTATGACGCAAACAATAATTGCTGATGTCTCGCTCAGAACTTCAATGGTTAAGAGGCTAACATTTAACTTGATGGTAATGGTAATGCCGATGAAAAGTGTGTACGGGTCTCGGGGACATGAAGAGATGGGAGAGAGAGAGAGAAAAACATTGTCTGATTAGTTTCATGTGGATTAGTAGATCCGGATGCTGGTGTTATTTGTTGATGCTGCAAACCATGATTATATCTACCCATAAAAGCGTTACCTCACCATTCAATTTCCAATTTTAACTTCGTTAATGCATCACTGGCTTTCAAGTGACTGTTATCACAACGAACTAACGTTCTAAGAAACTAGAAAATTATTTATTTGCTCGCTATGGTAGCATGGGCTGCTGCTGTTTAACTCATGATCGCCGCTAGTTGCCTTAGATCATTTTCTACAGTTTTAGGTTAGCGTACACAGGCTTGTCGGCAGCGGAATCAGCCGCACGCATAAAAATGCATCTTTGTGAAATAAACATTGAGTTGCGCTGCTCTTTAGCGAAACAATACTTACTTGGACTCGTCGATGAAAACTGCTTCCAGGACCCGAGCTGCATAATGCAGATTCTTTTGCAGAACATCGGCAGATATTTCGCCGGTGCTGAGCATACGCAGAAGATAGCGTAATCTGGAAGAGAAATAAATGATTAGATTACAAGAACAAATAACATAGTAATTACATTAAGTAATACAACTTATTAGTCGCCGTCGATTCAATTTGTTAAAAATGCCGATTTTGACTGGACTGACCCGGATGAAAAACTAAAACCCTTGTTCAAATTCTTTCAAAAGCCAATAGTCGAATTCTGTAACATGAAATCACATTTCGAGCTAAAAGTTTAAATAAAAGTCGACAGGACTGTTTTTATACCCTACACCACATAGTGGTAAGGGTATTATGTCTTTGTGCATTTGTTTGTAACATGGAGAAGGAAGCGAGATAGACCCATATTTACTTTTGGGAATCTTCATAGAAATACTTTCTGAGTTGATTTGTGCATGTCAGTCCGTCCGCCCGTCTTTCCATATATTTTTGCGAAAAAATGCAGGTCGCATTTATTGTATTTCTGTGTTTGTCCCAAGGGCGAACCCAATTGAAATTGATGAGAATTAGATATAGCTCCCAAAAATATCTATCTTTAACCGATTTTGGGTTAATTCTGCACCAAATGGCCATTATCAGTCCAAATGACCTGGATTTTGGCAAATTTGACCGAATTCAGCCCAGAAACCAGTACTTCAAACATTGGTGAAAATCGGTTCAGATATAGCTATAGATTCCATATATATATGTTTCATTCTATTTGGTGTTTAAGTCCAACACATTCGTAATGTGCACTCCACAGAAATGATATATGATACCGGACATCACATACAGCCCAGAAATACCTTTGCCAAATTTTATCAAGATCAGTTCAGATTTGTGTATACCTTTGATATACATCTTCATCCGATTTTACATATTCATACATATTTATATTTCATATTTAACCGAATTTTTCCATTTGGTAAAACTCGATCTATCTATTGCTCCAATAAATATTTTTTAATATAATTCTTATCGAAGTCATATTATGCACTATACAGCAATGTTATTGGGTCCTTCTATTGTTCAAATTTGTTGAAAATCGATTCAGAGTCGGAAATTGTGATATGCATTTAAATAAGGTTCATAGTTGGTATGATCTACTTTACATAAATTTCCAATATAAACTTTTTTGTTACAGGAGCTCTACTAAATACGCATGATGATGTAGGCTATAATAAAGTTGGTCCGCCCTACTTTTGGCCTGTCCTTACTGTTTTTTTTATCGGCATGATAGTTTAAATGATACAGATACGCACTGCAAGACATGCCCATAAAATATAGATTTATATTTTCCTCTATATTTTGCTGCGATCTATTTTATTGGTTTCAACTCTTTTCCTATTCACTATTTACTATTCAGATTCCTTGTATAGCACATGTCACTATATAAAAATTAAACAAAACGTCCAGTTTTTCTTACCTCAGTGCAGCCTTGTCACAGGCATCTGGTGTATCGACAGCTGGTAAATTTTCTGTGGCCAAATCGAGATTGGCTTTGGCCGACCCGAGTGCCGACGTACTTTCATCCGTGGACATATTCGATTCGGAAACATTTTCATCCGGGATAGTGTCGGTGGCTGTAGGTGGCATGGGTGCTATATTGCTCGTGTTCGGTGATGTGGGTAACATTTTTGCTGAGGGAGATGATTGTTGTGTTGTAGTCTGGAATAGTTGAGCGTTGTGTGTTAAGGTGGCTTGTGCTGAGGAATAGGTTTGTTCTTGGGTAAAGCTAGACGACGACGATTCGTTGAGGCGATTGTCGTGCTGGGGTGCGGTTGCAGTATTGGCGGGATGTTTTCCTACAGATTCATCTGCTAGAAACGAGCCTCTGGCAGACGACGATGGAGTTGGAGTAGACGAGAGTTGTTGTTGATATAAATGCTGTGATTCAAGTTGAGTAAAACTTTTGCGGCTATTCGAACGGCGAACTATAGTGAGAGCCCCGTGTCCTGAAAAATAATGAAAAGTAGAATACATTTATAAGATTTTTTTATTGAAGAGAAAACAGAGCAAGAGAAGACAACGATGTTTCAGAAAAGAATTTTAAATTTATGAGCAAAGGGCAGCTGCAAAAATGGCCCAAACATGAGTGAAGAAGGAGGTAAAAGAGTTTGTTTTTGTATCTGCTTTGGCTGTCCCAAAAATGTTAGACTCCCATATGGACACAATTACGGTTATGGGTGCATCTCGTATTTTTCATTTTATCAGATTCAGATTTCGATGCGATAGTAAACATATTAAAACTGAGGTAGCAAAAGGAGACGACTATTTTTATAAATTGAAAATCACGTCAGTTTTGTAAATTTCTGAAGGAATTTAATCGTTCCCGATTTAGGGATTTTAAGATAGGAGGGATTGCTGTCCTTAAGAAATACTAAAACAACTTACTGTAAGCTATTTAAATTCCTCAGCTACTACATTTTAGACTAAACTGGGAGTGATATATTCCAGCTTATAGTTCAGGAGGCCACACTAATTCTGCTAATTTGTTCAACTACTTATTAGAGTATAAGAAACATCCGTACCTAATTATGGTTCTTAGCATAACAATTGCAATTATTTCTTCTATACTGTCTATATGCATATGAAATATTGGTAGAACATTCACATTGATTTAGGGAATGAAGTTTGGGAACTAATCTAATTATTCTTCTCATCTTTCAGTTGACTTACTTAACTTTTTCTATTTTCTTATGGCTTAATAAAAAAAGTGTGTCATAAACTAATGTATTTTTTTTAAAGCGAAACACCTCGGACTTGGCCTTGTGAGTCTTTTGCACCAATGTTATCACTGGTTTTGTTATGAACTTCCACATTTATAGGAAAAAATACTATAGTTCGTTATTGTATTGCCGTACAACAAAAAGACAATCAATCGAAGTACAGGTTCCAAATGCGGCCATCTAATTGGCGCCGGGGGCTGGGATCGTTGCACAATATTCTATTGGGTAAAGAATTCATCATTTTCCATTGTCTTAATCCGCTTCTGGGTTTCCCAATAGGTTCATTTACTAACGAAAATGTGTATGCGGTACGGCAACACACATACACACCGCACACACATGTGTCGAGCACAAGGACTGGTGAGTCATGTAAACTCCATAAAGGATTCTGTTTTATTATGAATCGATGATTTTCTTTGTAACGCCTGAATTAAGAGAAGGCAGACAGACAAATGTTTACTAAGCCTATTTACTCGAAATCAATTTCGAAATTTGTTATACAAATATGGAACTGACAGGTCCCCATAACAATGAAAGGATTCAATCGCAATCAGTTATGCAAAATTGTTTTTATTTCTTCTGAGAAATTCAAGGTTGAGAAATTCTACCCATAATTCGATAAGAGTAAACAACAATTTTTTTTTTTATTTTGGATGAAAAAATGATTTGGGACTGTAGTTACCGTTTATAGTATTCGACAATTTGGCAATCATAGTTACATAGATAGATTTTACATTATTATTATTTTATGTAATGTATAATGTATATGTATATGTAATGTATAACTCAGTTTTCCTAAGTGACAACTGTTCCATTTGAGATACCAAAAAAATACAGATGGGCGGACTGACATCGCTAAATTGGCTCTAATGTCTTACGACTGATTTTTTAAACAGATCCTTTATTTGGATAAATCACATTTTGGCCATATCAAATTACACAAGCCATATGTAATAATATAGCCACTAAATATGTGAGGGATGCCTTACAAAGCTAGACCCTGAAAGGTTAAAGGTGCTTAAAACCCTAGCTCGTTTTTATACCCCACCACACTATGTGTTGGAGGTATTAAAAGTTCGATTAGGCCAACAATTATGTAACACCTCGAAATATTGGTCCTGCACATAGGAAACTATATATGGATCTTCCGACATTGCCGAGCTGAGTTGATCTATGTATGTTCCTCCGTCCACCTGTCCACGTTAATTTACAGGTCCCAATTATGGCCCGATCATCACGAAATTAAGCATGGAGATGAGTTTAGGATCCGAATAGAAGTATATTGTTTTTGTAGATGATTGCAATATGTTTAGGGGTTGAAATGGACCAAAAAGAGAAAAAAATCCTGATTGCTCCTGACTTGCTCTACAAGCCATAATTATAAACCAATAGACACGGATTTTTTCATGGAGTTATGTTTAGGCCTTCGTAAAAGTCTACCAATTTGGACGGTCATTGGACAATATTTAGCGGGTAAAATAAACCATAACTTTTATGACAAAAATATGACAAATAAATACACGGCGAAATCACAAATTCATTAAAAGGCCACTTCTGACCATTACAGTGATGCTGATAGCCAAGATATATAGCAAAATAGTTACGATTTATATGTAACGCAAATTGATCTCAGTTATTCAGCTTATAAGTCAAGAACCGCTGGACTGATTTTCGAAGAAAAGGATAAAAATAAGAAAATCGCGTAAAAATATGTCAATAAAAAGTGAATATTTTTTTGCTGCATTTTTCAATTTTTGCCATCCTATTTATCGCATGCGATTTTTCCAATTTGACTTACAATTTTGAATTGTACATTTTCTAAGATTTTTCTGCAACCCGCAACACTATGTGTTGAGGATATTTTGTACAGGTCGCAATTATCGTCCGATCCTCACGAAATTTTGCATGAAGGTAGGGTTAGGGTCAGAATCAAAGCTTGTTGTATTTGAAAATGTACATCTAGGGGTTCAAAAGGACCGAAAAATTAAAATTGTTCTGATTCTACAGTCCCTCTTCAGGTCACAATTGACAAACTAGACGGCACGGAATTTTGCATGAGGAGAGAGTTAAGGACGGAGAAGAAGGCTAGCATTTGAATGACCATTGGATTATATTAAGCTGTAAAATGGAACACAACTTTCTTGTGAATTTTTTTTGAATACCTATCAAGACGACGAAGGGCATAAATATTGGGCAAATGTCCCCGGTCAAAAACTAAAGGTAACATCTGTGTAGGGCTCTATGACATTATTTCAAAAACGAAATGGATTGGGACATAAGGGGGTTTCCAAAATATTGTAGTGTTGTAGGGTATCACATGGTCGGCCCCGCACGACTGTAGACTTTGCTTAATTGTTTATTTTGGGATAGTTCAAAAATGTCATCACCTTCATTTATGTGACCTACTAATACTTACTTGCAACTTGACCATTGATTGAAGAGACAATGCTGTTATTTGTAATGGAGAAATTTACACTTTCCGATTGGCCATCAGCACTGGGAGGACTTGAGATCTTGGAGAAATCTTGAGTATTGTTATTGCCACAAGTTGTTGTACTACCTCCGGCAGAACCACCTGGTATTGCTTGTGTACTGGAACTACAATCGGATGGATTGCTGGACGCACTACCAGTTTGCAAGGAACAACCAACGCCACCGCTATTAATGTTACCACTTCCAACACCGCTCGAGCAAGATGAATCCTCCCGTTTGGGTATATTTTCTGGTGTACTGGCAACTGTAAATATAAAATTAAGAAAAAAAATCAAAATTACTCGGCTGTCTATAATACTTTATGATCTAAAAAATATCCGAAATTCTTAATGGATAAATAGTATTATATTTTGTTTTTGTTGTTATTGTGCAGTGTTCATAGTAACGCCCCAAATTACATGGTCGTAGCATATGTTGCCATCATTAAAGGACTTTCAATTAAATCTATGAACCATCAACCACCATCATTGGCCGTAGATACCACAAGGGGTGGGGAGGCGATGTATTTTCTCATTTCCTTAAAGGACAAAAAGCCACAGGTTTAGGGTCATTGAAAATTAATAACAAAGAATCCTCCTACGAAGCCACTTAGAAGAAAGGAAGGATATGGTTAACTGAATCTAATGGTGAGACGAGGGCAATTTCAAGAGCGATTGTAAAGGAAAATTACCCTGAAAATAGGTTTTCATAGAGACATTCAATGCACCTGTTGTTGTGTTTCCAACAAAAGGGTTTGCAAAATACAAATTCATTTATGACTTGGAAGCATTGTGTTGGATAAGAGGAAACAAATGTAACATGAACTCAAAATGGGGGATTAGCTTCAATACAATGAAATCTGGAAATTATATAAGGAATAACTTCTTGTAGGACGGATGGGGAAACTGGTTATTGTTGTATTCTGAATGCTATACTGGGAACAAGTCAATTTCACGGCATCGGGTTTCTTTTAAATTTTGCAAAATTTGAAAGGAACGAAGAATGAAGCATTTTAATGGTTAACCCATGATGAGTACTTCTATATTGAGGGTTTAACTGCTGCTGCTGCTTGGAATAAACTGAAGTTCAGCACAAATCCATTTTTGAGATTATACAAAGATGGCGTTAAATTTGGATCGAAATTTGTATATCTTCTGTTAATACTACAATAATATGAGGTAGATTAATAAAAAGAATACAACTCTGCAATGCCCATATAATTCATGCAACAAAATCCATTGAACACATATAACTTTGACAGAAGGTACTTTAAAATGTTTGTATGCTAAAATTGCAATAGCTAATTTTTACAAAATTATTACAACACTATTACAACAATTTAACAAAGTTGCACACGGAATTCGAGTTTTAGGTAGGGATTTACGTTATCAAAAGCTAAAACCAAAAGTACAGTCCATTTTGTTAGAAAGTGCCGCTGGGATGTTTAATATAATGATGATTGGGTAGTGTAATTATATGTAGACAAACCCGACCTGTATTGAAATTTTTGTGCGGATTATATCAGAGAGTGGGCAGATAGTCGTATATATTTAAATCAAATCAGCTGATGGGATCTTCGACATATATTTCTAGGTGTTGAAAACTATGATATCTCCTTTTATTGTAGACGGTGGACATTGGAGTCTGAATCGTTTATTGAGTTTGTACACACCCTAAAATATCTAAAAACCCAATAAGGTAAAGCCTTGTAAAAATGTGGAAGGATTTTTTCAGAGTTATATTTTATTTTTAAAGATAAATGAAAAATTACATTAAGGAAATGAAACTTTGGGTGTTTATTTTTTCATATCATATTTGTATGACAAAAACCAAATACAGATTACAAATCCTGTGGCAAAGCGTAGCGCAGAGGATGGCGTTAGTATACAGGCTGAGATGAAAAAACTGCAACCAATTTTAGACTACTGTCATTTCTAAGCCACAGCCATAAAATTATTCTAGTGACAGATTATTATATTGTTTACAAGCGTACAAAAGCTTCGTTGAGATTTTCCAGAAAAAAAGTTATTCCTGATGGAATTCAAGCGTGATAGTGTGATTTCTTTATATTTGGTTGGAAAACCACAAGTGGTTATTGTTAGAGCACTCCAGCATTTAAATGTGAATACATTTATTGTGTCTCGTACCATCGCTCGTTACCGTCATACTGGTACCTTAGCCCGACTCCAAGGAAGTGAAATCAACAGAAATGGTTCGAAAAGTAAAGAAGCGACATTAACGAAACCCGCGTCGCAGTGGCCAAAAAATTGCTCGTGAGCTGAACATATCGCAACATTCCATTCGGCAAATATTGAAAAAATGAGCTCGGGGTAAAGCTATTGAAATTCCAAAAAGTGCAAGAACTTAACCATAACTGAAAGACAATAGACCCAAAAGAGTCGCTTTGCTTGGCCGAAAGTGGTAAACTGTCGAATTTGGCAGTTTGTACACAAACAAAATGATCGTCTTTACTTGCCAAAGAGGCATCAGAATAAATGTCGAAAATATTCTGGAGGGTGTATTAAATGGACATTTCAATAGGACTCAGCACCATCGCATTCAGCACCCGCCACCCAAGAATGGTTACAAAAAGAGGTTCCTCGCTTCATTTCCAGCTCACAATGGCCACCAAAATCTCCGGAGACCAATCCGTTGGACTACTGTATCTGGAGTATTTTGGAAAGCAAGGTTGGCACTAAAAATACCAAAGTGCCGATCACCTCAAGCAAGCGCTTCGTCGAGAATGGGCCCAAATACCGCAGAGCAACATTCGGGCAGCGTGTGACGGTTTCACTTCAAACAAATCTAAACTTATTATAGAATTTGATGCTATTTCGGACATTTGTTGCTTTTATTCAACAAAATTTTAAAAAAAATGTAAGAATTATGGCGTTTGACTTTGTTGCAGTTTTTTTATCTCACCCTGCATATTTGAATTCAATGCTGAACTGGATTGACCATCATTCAATCACTGATTTTAGGTCAGTGAACTAGAATGAATCACGTGGCTACGAATGACCTACGCACTTTTAGATGTATGGTTATTTATATATTTATCCTAATATGGACACTAAGTCCCAACGTTGTCTGGAACTGGGAAATAAATAATCTGTTGTATTAAATTTATTTATTAACACAAATTTTTAGCAACATCTTGCCTCTCTAATACGTATGTTCCTATGCGTTTGCTGGGGTTTTGGAGCAAGGCATTTCCTAAGAATAACTTCGTTACAAATATTCCATCTGGAGATATCGAGTACATGCCACAACATTCCTTCTCTTTTGTGAAATTGATCGAATTGATGTTTCGCAGTATTTTTGTCTATGTCAATGATTCATACCTTAATTTTTTATCTGCATGCACTGTGTGGTTGAATGAATCATACCGAAGTTCGAAGCTTGTGCACACTTTCTGTGATTGCTGTGCTAAATTCTAATCGGGGTACTTAAGGCCGATAGTGATTTGGAGTTACCATAGAAAACAAGCTACGTGTTAATATTTCATGATTGATATCTTTGTCAGTCCTCTGGGCTGTACTATAATAACGGTAAATATTTGACAGATAAGAAGACCAATACATACGAAAATTGGTAAATTTTTATTGTATATTCACCTACAAAATTATTAATAAATATACATTATGATTTTTTCCCAGCTAAATTGTTTTATTAAACAAAATCGGATTCTCTCTAGGCATTCGTGAAGAAAATTATGCATTTTGCTTATCAGCATGAATTGGTTTGCTGGGTTAGTGCCATGCACTGTTGTTTATTATTCTGTGGCCTTAATCATTTCTAACCAATATAAGTCCAACAATGCTATTTTTTAAATAAAATATATGACCATGTTGTTATTGTTTTTGTTTCGTAAAACCTTCCTTATCACATTCACGCTCGACAGCCAAAAAACCCACAGAATTTCCAACGTAAACTGTTTTGGAGTTGTTTATAACCAGGAAAATGTCGCTCTTAGCCATTCAGTTTATTGAAGTATTCGGTGTTGTAAACACTCGGAATTACAGGAGAAAATGAAATTATTCGCCGTGTTTGCCCTGGTCCTAATGGCCTTGCTGGCTTTTGCTTCGGCTGATTATCGTGTGGCCGGCCTTGACAGCGAAACTGAAGCTGATGGTGAAGTCTGCAAGTGTGCCCGTATTTTGGACCCCGTCTGTGCTACCGATTCTCAAACCTATCCAAATTCTTGTGAATTTTTGTGTGCCCAAAAGAAGTTGGCCCGCAGAGGAAGAAGCATTGGTTTAGCACATGCCGGTAGCTGTTAATGTTGGCAGTCGATAGTTTTCATGAAACGGAACGAATTTAAATTGGCCAGATTGTATTTATCAAATTTTATATTTTTCTAAAAAAATAACAAAACCATTCCAAGGTGATTATCTCAAGTGTTTCATTTCCGATATCACGGTGTTTTTACTGAGATTTCTGTCTAAATGTGATATGCTGTTGATAATTATTATAGACTTTTCTAGGAAATTACTGGAAATTCCATTATTGATATAGCTGCGTAAAATTAAACGTTTTGTGGTTGCGGAAAATATGCTTGGCAAGCCATTTGAGTTACGCATTTATTTCGAAGGAAAGACTATTTCATAGAGTTTTCCCAGTTTTTATTAATAGAAATCTGGTCCGTTTTTTATGATTATTCCCAAGTGAATAACGACAAATGAATCTTGGAATATTAGTGTAGGAAAAAAATATAGATGCATAACAGAGACCTGTTAAAATTAAATACTCTATTATAGAGCAGAGAGATGTATAAAATAAGAACACCTGACTCAAAGAGAATCTGCTTTCGGGGCCCTAAAATACACTCGGAAGGTTTTCCTGAAAGCAATTCTCCACCCCCACAGACTTTGTTTTTGATTTGGTTTTCTTGCATACTGCCATTGCCATTTATTTATGGTACCAAACAAAATTTAATGCGTTGCTGGCAAATTTGATTTGAAATAAACAAACTACACAATTCGATCCATAAACTCATTTGTACGCATACGCTTGTTTTATTTTAGAGTTTGGACAACGACATTCAATTGGTAAACTTTTAATTTTTGTCATTCAATATTGTGTGGATAATTCAATGAGCAAATAATTATAAATTATTTTTATTTGGAATTAGTTCGAATTGGGCGACAATTCAGAAACCAATAAATGTTACTTGTGGTTGTCTATAAGTGCGTGTGTACAATTAAGAGAGCATTTGATTAAATTGCAATTTATTTTGGTATTTCAACTCATATCCTCATGTTGGAA